GAGGGAGAAGCAGGCTTCCCCGCGGAGCAGGGGGCCCGATCCCGGGACCCTGGGATCATGGCCTGAGCCGAAGGCAGACGCTTAACGACTGAGCCACCCAGGCACCCCTGCGCTGTTCTTTCTTTTCCCTGGACGATGGTGCCGTAGCAGCCCCACCCCTTTAGCTCCGCGAATTCTCCCCCCCACCACACGCCGCCCTCTCACTGCTGGGGCCTGGCTGCAGTCCCCGGATGTGCTGCCCGGCGCTCCTGCCCAGCCACGTGCCCCGAGCTCCCACTCTCCTTCCAGGGGGTCCCCTGAGCAGTCTCTGCCTCGCTCCTGAGCCACCAGGCCTGGCTCAGCACCCTGCGGTGAGCTTCCATGCCCCCTGGGCCTCCCCTAGCCGCCCTTGTCACACGGTCTCTGATGACCTTTCGCTTGTGTCCCACTAGATGGCAGCCGTTTTGTGACAACAGAGGGTTGTTGTCCTGTTGGTTCTGATTCTCTGAAGAACCATGACTAATAGAGTGTATTAAGAGTTCAGGGAAGTTCAGGGACACTCCGAGGGTGGAGTGTCCGACTCTTGGTTTCAGCTCAGGTCGTGATCTCATGGGTTGTGGGATGGAGCCCTTCACTGGGCTCCTCACTCAGCAGGAAGTCTGCTTGAAAATTCTCTCCCTCTGCCCCTCTACCCCTATGCTCAAGCTCTCTCTCTAAAAATAAATAAATCAATCTTTTTTTTTTTTTTTAAGAGTTCATGGAAGGGGCAGGTGCACACACACATACAGTAATAGGACAGGATTCACTGATAAAGCAGAGGTTCTGGTCCAAGGTGGGAGGCTTAGTAATCCTATAAGATCCTCCTTCTGTACTGAATCAGAGAAATGAAAAAACATATATTTTAATAAATCCATCTTAATACTGGGAATCAGGAAGGGATTTCCTCAGTGGATGAGAAATGATTAGGAATCCCTGAAAGCCAGAACTAGATCAGCTCACAGGGACACATCAGTGACTGATGAGTACTTGAGAATCCCTAACATTTGAGGAATTCTAAAATCATAAAAGAGGCACAACGGAGACAGAAGGGATGGTTGTGGCTGTTGTCATTACAAACATGTCCCCTTACATGCCCGTCCCCTTCCCCAATGTAGTCATTTAATGAAAAGAGCACAGAACCAGGTGCCCAGTTTCTGGTTCTGCTATTGTTCCAAGGCTGTGGCCCTGGGCAAACTGTCTACCTCTATCTGGGCATAGTTTCTTCTTCCTTAACATGGAGGTAACACTCCTGGCCTGTGAAATTCTAATGGGACCGAGTGAGACAGTTGTGGGGACATCTAATGCAGTGACCAAAGGGAAGCTCTAAACTCTCCTCGACTTGTGCTCCAGGGCCTTCCTCCCCTGGCGCCCATACCCAGGCCTGGAGGTGAGCTCAACTGTTGCTCAGTGAGTGGGTCAGTTTTGCTGTTCCCTTCATGTTCAGTCTCTTTCCTGGGTATATGCTGCAGGCTTTCCCGTGGCAGGGAGATAAGGTGCTTGTTGTAAATTCTGGCAATGGCTGGACAGGGATAGCAGGTGCCTTCCTAGTCTCCTTACAGGATGACAGAGAGTGGCCACCTCCCTCACCTCTGTCTAGGGCAGACCCGAATGGCCAGAGGGACCCCCGCCACTCCCTGGAGAGCCCTACACTTTGACCCACTGCCAGTCAGCCTGGGATTGGTTTTGTTTGTTTGTTTCTAAGATTTATTTATTTATTTGAGAGGGGTGGGGGGCTGGGAGAGAGAATCCCAAGCAGACTGCATATGGAGTGTGGATTCTGCCCCCCCAGATGCAGGACCCAATCTCAGGACCCCGAGATCACGACCTGAGTCGAAACCAAAAGCCAGCTGCCTAACCGTCTGCACCACCCAGACACCTTTGGGATTGTTTTTATGAGCTCTGGGTTGGGTTCTGTTCACACTGTGTCCCTAACTGACTGTTGGGTGATTTTGAACAACCTCTGGGCCTTTGTTTCTTAATTTATAAGATGGAAAAGCTCTACTTGAGGCCCTCCAAGTCAAAATGTTGTAGAATCTTGGACTCTCTTTTAATGGAATCTGAGTCATAATGGAATCAAGCAAGGAAAGAATGCAGAACAGTGAAACCATCACACAGACCTTCATTTCTCAGTGCATCACACAGACCCTCATTATGCAGAAGAGGCTGCCTGGCTTCGCTCCCGCTCAACGTCCTCTTCATCATACTTCTCCGGCCCCAGCTGGGCTTTCGGCCCCCTCCCTGCCTCCTCTCCTGCCTCTTGTCCCTATGACGTCTCTGTATCTGCGCCCTGTGCCTGCTTCAGTCACCAGTTACTCTGACCAACCTGGTCTTCTTCCCACCTCATGCCCAGACCACCTGCCTCCTCTTACCAGTTTCACCCCTTCCCACCTCCCTGCCTGGAGCCCCTCCACCCTTGCCTGCCCCCCTGCTCCTCCCACCACCTGCCTTCCCCCCTCCCCTGCATCCGCCACTGCTTCCAACTTGCCCCCCTCTTCTTCCGCACTTCTCCCTTTACCCCGGCCTCTCCTACTCACCCTGCTTCTTCCCCCACCTGCGTGGGCCTTGGGCCCAAATAGGCCTCCCCTACCCCTGCTAGGACATCTGCCCCAAACAGTCCTCACCGGGCCTGATGATTCCCACACGCCATCGTGGGGGCCTCATGTCCCTCCCAGTGGGGACCCTGGCCCAGCCCAGAACTCCTGGGAAGGCGGTACCCAGCATGCTGGTGACCTGGTGAACATGGGGGACGCTGGGTGATGACCAGCAGGCATACAACCAGGAGGGCCACCTCCCTCAGGTAAGGGTCTCTTTCCCAAGATGGGGGGCTCAGCTACCCCCATGTCCTGGTTATCTTGCTGCCTGAGAATAGCACATGCCTCCATTTCCATTCCCTACATCATAGATAAATGGGGATCTTATTATTTGACATAAGAGACTCCACAGGGAGTAAAGCTTGGGGCAGATTGCTGGATCTTGATGATTCTTGTCCATCTCAACACGTAAGTCAAGGACACTGATACACACACGGACACACGCTGTGTGCACCAGCAGGCCCAAGTCACCACAACCCTGAGCAGAGATCAGCACGGAGTGCGAGGTAGCTTTGGCCTGATGATGGTTTGAATGGAATGTTCTGAGACGTTCTGTTTTCGCACCCTTTTATGCCATCCGAAAAACTTGGTTCTGATCTCTTAGTTTCTATCTCATGTTGATCAGTTGAGGTCCCTGTGGCCATAGAACACATTTCCCCTGGGATGAGGAACCTTTTTTTTTTTAACATCAGGATCAGAGGACTGAGTTAATCATGCTTTTATCATTGGCCTGAGTGAGGCCCCTCTTTTGTTCTATTTATTCACTTTCATGCCCATTTCTCACTTCTCCTCCCCTGGTGAAAACACTACTCAAAATGTTTTGATGTGTATGTGTATGTATTCTCACAAAATCTGTGGTGTTATTTTGTTAGCTGTATTTTTAATTTTCGTACGTGAGATTGTGCGCTAGACTTCATCGTGTTTACTACCTTTCACCCGCACTCTCTTTTCAAGATGTGCCTCTGTGTGTGTGTCATCTCTGCTTCTCACTTCCACACTGTGTCCTGCCGAGCGTCTCCTCCAGATTACACTCATCCATTTCCCCAGGGACAGCCACACACCTAGACGCTCTGACTCTCCACCATGGTGGACACTTCCAAACCAACCATCCTGCTACATGCCCACTTGTGACACTATGGGAGAGTTTTTCGGGACAGGTGCCCAGCACGGGGAGCACTGAGTTAGAGTCTAATCTTCCATCATTCACGTGCAAGTGTTCTTGTTGGGATGAGAAACTGTTCATTAAATATGTCCCTAAGGTGAGTTCAGCAAGCTCCCTCTGGGCCATTCTATGCCCAAGACCTAGGAAGTAAAATAGTTTTATGAAACCTACAAGATAACTTTTGGCCTTTTATAACCAGCCTATATTTCACAAATTTTCCTGGATCTCAGTGGCTTTTCTTTATCTGTTTCTGGAGTTTTGGGGCAAGTACACACGCCTATGAATCAAGACTGTAGACTCTTCTTGACCACCAGCACCGGCCAACATGAGTGAATGGGTTAACATCTGTTGTCAGGCTTTATTTATAAAGAGGCTGCATGTTGGACATCTTCTGGAACCTCTTTACACTTTGTTCTTATAATTATTAGTTAGTATTACCAATTACGGTAGTTACTGTTCTATGTCAGTCCATAAAACCTCACACTTTCAGAAGCTATTGAGATCTTTAGTAAGTTCCTTTTCCTTAGGCAGGTTGCTCTTCCTGTGTCCCTTATCCCTGTCTCGTTGATTGGCCAGGCTTGAAAGGCACCCCCCTTTGTAATTGTCCTCTTACGCTACCTGGGCCTATGGCTAAACCATGAAGATGCAGGACTAGTGATGGCTGAGCTGGAGAGGAATGCAGGGGCCTACCCTCAGAGAGACCCTGGCTGGAGTTTCCTGGGTAACTTCCTTCCAGGTGCACCATCTCATCTGTATCCCAGCAACACCCAGGATAATCCTTTATGACCTCTAAGGCCTTCCCACTCTGAGAATGCACCTCTTGCAGGAAGAGAGAAGGTTTCCAACGTTCTTATCAAAGCTGTGATCTTCTCAGATGGCCCTTACCCTGGAATTTACAAAGTAACGTTGCTAAACGTATATGCAGATGTAACCACGACCACATCCAGATGTAGAGTGTTTCATTATCACCCCAAATTTCTCTGTGATCCTTTGCAGTCAATACCACCCACCCCAAATTCTCAGGAAACACCAACTGGCGTTTTGTCCCTATAGATTTTTCTTGTGTGGGCTAGAATTTCATATAACAGTATTTACCCTTTCGTGTCTGATTTCTTTCATTCACGATGCTGTTTCTGCCATCCATCCATGTTGTCTTGTATATCAGTAGTTCATTCTATTTAGTGCTGAGTGGGATCCCAAAATTGTTTTTCCATTGCACTTGTTGCTAGGTATGACCGTTATCAATCTGTTGCCTCTCGACTCCAAATCGGCCCTTCATTACCTGCTCTGCAATAGTAGGAGAGCCCCTCGAAGCAATTCTCCTTTGCAGTGAGAACAATACCGAGCCATGTCAGTAGATGGTGCTGGAGGGACACTGCAGGAGGAAGGCGCGTCCCTTCCCTGGCCCAAGGTGCTTCTGTTGGCTTCTCCTCCTCTGACTGAGACTGCTGCCAGAGATGAATGCATGGGGACATCCTTTGCACAGCCCCAGCTATGCATCAAGAGCACACAATGCCTGTGATCTCACAGCCTCCGGCCTACCCCAGTGCCCACCTTGCTACACCCTCCCATCATGGACTCTGCAAACCTCCAGCCTCACACACCCTGCTGGTGAGCAGGACACCGAGTCCCCTGTTGCCAACCTGTCGGCCTCAGCCCACCAGCTCCTAGAGGAGTGTTTCCGGTGGCCCTCCAGACACGGACACGTGCATCCCAGGCCTTCACCACTCTGCCTGCAAGTAGGTTCCCGACTCGGGCTCTCCCGGGGCACTCCCTGCTAACCTCTACCGCCAGTGACCTGGAGACCATGGGCCAAGCATGACACATTTTTCAATAAGGTTTGAATCCCAGCTTGAAGGAGAGGGTCCCCTTCTAATTTGTTCCCTCCTTGGATACTCTCCTTCTGCCTTAGAATCCTCTGTAGAGTTCTCTTAGGGTCACTCCACTGCAGAGGTAATAATTTTTAAAATTCTATTTTCCTTGTTCAAATTACCATGTGGTTTCCATATTCCGCTGGGCCCCTGAGAGATGTGTTAGACATTTGTATCGTTTCAAAGTTTTGGCTGTTATGAATAAAGCTGCCATGAACATTTTGTCTTTGGATGGCCATAGGTTGTCATTTTTCCTGATAAACACCTAGAAGGGGAATTGCTGGGTCACGTGGTAAGCGCATAAGCAATTTAAAAGAAATTGCCAAACCGTTTTCCAGACTGGCTGCACCATTTTATATTTCCAGCAAAAATGCTGCTCCCATCCCTGCCAGCACTTGACATTGCCAGTCTTTAATCTGAGCCATTCTAGTGGGTACGCAGCTCCCTGATGAATGGTGATGGAGTGTCTTTTCAGATGCCAGTTGGCAATCTGTGTATCTTCTTTCGTGACACATCTGTTCCAACCTTTTGCCCATTATTCCTTTGGTTCTCTTATTAAGTTGTCATCTTATTAGGAGTCTTAATGGTGTCCTTCACAGAGATTTTAGTTTGGATGAAATCCAATTTATCTTTTTATTTCAGGGTTAGTGCTTTTTGTGTTCTAAGAAACCACTACCTACCACAAAGTTGTGAAGATTTTTTTACATTTTCTTGTAGGAATTTTATAATTTTAACTTTTATATTTGGGTCTATGATCCACTTTGAGTTAGTTTTGTGTATAATGTGTAGAATGCGAAGTAAGGGTCAAAGTTTGTATTTTTCCCTTCAAATATCCAGTTGTTGCAGCACCATTTGTTGAAAAGATTATGGAATTACTTTGGCACCTTTGTCAAAAGTCAGTTGGCTGAGCATAAGTCTGTTTCTGCATACTGGTCTGTGCCACTGGCTATTGGTCCATCCTTATGCCAATACCACACTTACTTTATAGTAAGTCTTACAGTCAGGTAACATAACTCTTCCAACTTGGTTCTTCTTTTGCAAAATTGCTTTAGCTATTCAAGGTCTTTTGCATTTCCAAACAAACTTTAGCATCAGCATGTCAATTTCTCCAGAAAGCCTGTTGGGATTTTTATTGAAAGTGCAATGCATCTAGCGATAAATATGGGGAGAACTGACATCTTCACAATATTGTGTCTTTCAATCCATGAATATGGTATGACTTACTCTCCATATAGTCTTTAATTTCTCTCACACTGCATCTCTCCGACCATTCTTCTGCAATCATATCTCGCTTTGACGACAGCCGGGAAAAGTCTTCCACTTTTAAAGACCCAAATGATTAGACTGGGCCCACCCAGATAATCCAGAGAGCAGAAGTGGAAAATAAGTAAAAGACAGAAACCTGGGAAACATTAGGGCTCATAGAGTGAGCCTGGTTTCATGAGCCTTCCCTCAAGAGAGGGTGTCCCCTGGAAATGCAAGGCCAAGAGCCAGAGCCAAAGAACTGGAGGTCACGCTGGAGGACTCTTGGGGAAGAGGATGCTAGCCTTTCCCCTGGCAAGCATGTGACATTGGGACACTTCCTTTATCCATCTTCTGACCCCACAGACCCAGGCCTAGGAGGACAAGGGCACTGCCCAGAAGTGATGAAATGTTAACATACCTTTCTGTCCCTCCCTGAGGCAGGGAGGGGAAGGGGTGCCCCAGGGGTCGATGACTGCTGTAGTTCACAGCACTGGAGGTCAACTGCATGTTTACTGCTTGTAGCAAGTGTGACTGAAGCCAACGAGACTGCCCCAGCCACATGCCTGAGCAGAGCTCCTGGACCTGAGAGCTCAGAAAGAAATGCATGCGGGATCAAAAGCAGTGGCCTTAGCTCCATCTTACCTTCTCTTCTATTTGACACTGGGCATCCCTTGTGGAGTCTGTGGAAATAGAAGGCTTCGAGGGCCTGTAAGCAGGCAGCGGGGGACAGCTGGGAAGCTGCCTGGCCCCATCAGATTCCATGGCCCACGGACATCAATGTGGCAACAAAGTCCCCACACAGGAGTCAGAGGCCCCGGTCAGAACTTCTGAGGCCTTTTCCCAAGATGTCCTGCCCTCTCCTGCCTCTCAGCCTTGGCGTCCACCTCCTCTTTCTCGTTTTAGTCACCTGCAACCCTGTTTTCTCTCTCCTAGAATTAAGAACCGTCTTCAGAAAGCAACACAAGAAACCATTTTCAAACTGACTTTAATCTTTTTTTTTTTTTCTGCCCAAATATCGTACATGCAGAAGCCATGTGAAGAATTTTCTCCTCGAGGGAATTGGCAAGAATGTTGTCGGAAAGAGCCGGAAGTCCTCCCCAGCTGTCCACCTGCCACCTAGGAGCCACAGCAAGTTTGGAAAGATGCTGCACATAGAAAATGTAGAGAGCACAGATATAAAAGGCTAATTGCTTCTTATCTAAACAGTGTGCTTGTCAGTCCCTATCAGCGATCTCTTTCTTTGCAGGATGCATTTGGAAATTCTAAAAAAGGGGTTCCTGCCTCCTGTGAATTTACATTCTGAAGGAGTGGATAGACTAATCAGGCCAACTTTCCCTAAGGAAGCAGCCGCTCACTCTGCCTGCTGAGGTGAGGTCTGCTGAGAGATTCTGGAGAGAGGGGTGGTTTCAAGAAGCAAAATACTTGGATGGGGAGTAAGTGCCCCCTCTCTTCCCGTCAAGGAGCATTGCCTTTCACATTCTCAGGTGTTCTACTCTCTCCCACGGATGTCATTCTAGAAGCAGAGAGGAGGACTGACCCAGTCTCATCTGCCAGTGGGGGTACTGAGCTATGCAGGACGCGGCTGAGGGGGTCCCATCACATCAGCACCTTGAAAATTGTCCATTGTAGACAACCCTTAAGTATTTCCGGTCATTACACAAGAAGAAAAGAGGGAGAACAAACCACAAAGAGGTGGAAGCAGAGTCTGTTAGGATTCCCAGAGTTCTTGTCAGAAGCAGCACATCTGGGCGCGGATGGATGAGAACCTGCACCCAGTCGGGGTACCAGGAGCTGGACAAAACCAGCCCGTGGACCCAGGCGCACCAGGCTGGAAACCCTCCTCGCTCCAGATCAGACTTTTAAAACCTGGAGGGAACCATGGAGCAACTAGCAAATGCTCTGATTTTGCAGATGAGGAAGCTGAGGCCCAGACAAGTGAGGAGTCTTGCACAAAGTCACAGTTTGGGACAAAACTGTATAGGACAGCCTTTGATTCTCTGTAGCCAGCTATCCAGGCCATCGAGCTGGGGGGCGGATGCTCTGCGGCCCCTGGATTCCCAGGGCCCCTTTCTTTAGCCAAACTCTCTGGAACCCAGTCCCCAGGGACCCTTCCTGACATCGGTGTGAACTCCCTGGGGGGGGGGTGGCGGGGAGGCACAAGGCCCCCGGCCTTACTAAGTTTCCAACTAGAGCCCTGGAAGGTTTCCCCAAAGCAGTAACGCACTTTTCTCAACAAGCACTGACCCAAGCCAGTCTAGGCCCCTGACAGAATTCAGTTTCTCTTATTGGTGTGGTTTTCCTCACAGGCACAGCCAGGCTGGGCCCACAAAAGCCCGAGCTCAGGGTTTGGGGGGAGAAGGAGTTGCTTTGCTACATGGAAAGATTAAGCCCTTTGTCAGAGAACAAGGTCCCCCATCAGGCATGACAACAGCCGAAGCCGCCTTTGTGGGGCCTCACCGGCAGGGCTGGCGCCCAGGGAGACCAAGTTGCTCTCTTTGGCATCACCGACATTGCTCTGAGATGCTCAGGCACTCTCAAAATCAGCCTTTCCCAGCCAGACCAGGCCCCGCCAGCCGCCACCAGGCCTCCCCTGACTGGGCGGGGCTCCCCTGCCTTCAGTCGTTGAGTGTTTGGTTTTGCCCCATCCTCTTCTGACCTGAGTGAAAAGCAGACTTGAGGAAGAAGACAGGAGAAGAATCTACACGCCCGTCTCCTCCCTCTTCGTTCGAAGAAAGAGAATCCAGTACAGGAAGCAGCATGTTCACGAGCCTCTTTCCGTGTCAGGATCGGGGAGGAGAAGACGCCGGGGAGAGGAGCATAAAGGGAGGAGGCAGCAGGGAGCAGGCCTCTTCTTTTCCATCTCCTTGCAGACGCCTGCCTGCCCGCAGAAATGCTGCAGGGTCCACCTGGGCCTGAGCGGTGCGCCCTCTCCCTCCAGCCAGGTAGCGGGGCGCCTCGTCTCCATCATCAAGCAAAGGCAGCCGTTTCTTGCACAGAGTTTGCACAGTGCAGGAAGCAATCAGAGACCCAGAAGAGCGGCCTTCCTGAAGCTCTGCTGCTTTCTGGGCCGAGGAGGATAGGGAATCGGAGGCATCGGGGAGCCCCGGAGCCCCCGCGGGGAGGAGCTCAGCGGCCCCCCCCCGGGCAGCAGGGTGTGGAGCGAGAACCCTGGTTGCATGTCAGGGTTCCTGGTCACGGGGTCGAAGATTGTGCTACATTTCGTTTCCAGAGACGTACCCTTGGAGGTCTCTATTGTCTCTGAGGGGGAGAGGGGGCTGTTCTCCTCAAGGCTGGCAGTAAAGAAGAGCTTGGGCATGCTTGCCCTGGTAGGGGTCACGCCCCTGGGAGAACTGGCAATCCCATGAGCGAGGAGCTACCCGGGTGCCCTCTTTCTGGAGCCCCTGGGCTCTGCCTCACCCCCGCCCCTGGGATGCCGGCATGCTGGGAGAGCCTCCTAAGCCCTCCGCTCCTTTCCTGGGAGAACGGGGAGGTGGAAGAGATGGGATGGGGAGGAGTTTCGGAGCTGGTTCTTCCCTGAAGGATCAAATCCCCCTTGTCAAACCTAGACGTGGCCCCATTTACTGGAGCGTGATTCATACCAAAGGCCCTCAGACGTCCCTGTAGGGATGGAGTCTATGAAGGAAGGGGGACACGTTGAACAGAGCAGAAACGTGAAGACAGATGCTCTGAATCATCCGTCACGGTTCCTGCCCACAGCCCAGCATTGCTGCAGGGCCACCCCCATCTCTGCCGCATCTTCCACGAACCTGCCAGAGCAGAGGAAGGGGGATGACAAAGCGTCCCGTCCTGTCCTCAGCTCTGGGTCTCACCTGGGGGAAGCAGGCCTGCACAGCCAGGGCGTGGTACCCTGCAGTGCGTCGGTCCCAGGTTAGGGAGCACTCTGGGGGAGATCGTGTTGCCTCCTTCCCCCACCATCCCCTCTTCAAAGATGCTCCCCACCCCAGGGAAGGCCAGGCGGCACACTGTGCCCCCTCCTCTCCTGGGACAGGCTAGCTCCCAAACGGCTTCTCAGACAAGCCCCTGTATCGAGGAGGATGAGAGACCCTGAAACCCAGCCATTCACCATCACACATGCGTCAGCCTCAAGTGAACTCACCATCATGGGGGGAAATCCAGGTGCGGATTAGTAACTGATTTGGTACAAAGGGTTAAAGAGGATAATTCCCAAAGGTCAACCTGGGGAGAATTACTTCCCATTAAAGAGGTGGGATAAGAGCGGCCCAGCTCCTGGGCAGTTTGGGCGGCTAGGGCCTGGAGGCAGGTCAGCGCCAGTTACCCGCAGGTCAGGCCCCAGCTCGGGCTAGACCTTCTGCTGTGCTAACTAACCTGCCCCCAGAGGCAAGGGGACCGTGGCCTATAGCCACCCAGGGCCAGGCTCTCTGCTGGCAGCCCTCCACCTTCCCTGTCTTCCCAGGCCCCTCAAGGAATGAGGGTGATATCCCTCCCTAATATCCCCCATTCCCCTGGGTCTCGGTAGCACCACTCGGGGCTACATCAGCAAATGTCTACGCCATCCTAGGAGTCATTACTAATCCCGCCGTTCCAAAAGTGTAGAGTCTGTTCACGCCATCCTGAGGGTGACTGTTTGGGAGAGGTGAATACATCACAGACAGGACATAAAATATCCTTTTGTGAGCGAGTTTCCCTCTCCCCACCCTAGGGTCAAAGAGTACAGAGCCCTTTGCCTTATTTTTAGAAACATGAGAAATGTGCGCATTACCCAATCCCAACAACGGGAGAGAATTTCTGCCTAAAGAGAAAACTCGACCCAGCTGCCTCCTCCCTCTCCCTACGCCCACAACCGTCCTCATCTGTGATAAGACAAGAATGGAGGCTTTGGCAGCAGCCAGGAGCCCATTTGGTTCATTTCTTACTGCCCTTACCCACTTTCCGTCTGTGGGCAGGACCAGTAGGGTTTTCCTGGGAGGGAAGTTACCAGGCTCTGGCTTCAACCTGGTGTGGGTCCCTACCAGGAAAGGAGGCCCTTTATCTCCTGACAGCCGCCTCCTCCACCTGACCTCAGAATCCGCCTCTATGCCCATCTGTCCGGCTTTGGTTATGAACGGAGTCCAAGCACGCAGGCCCCGAGACCGCTCCACTGCTCAGCTGGGTAGCTCCCCTCCACCTTGAGCATGTGGGTCAGAGTCATGCAGCACTTGGGGCTGACGTCTGGGGAAGAGGCAGAGGGACGGTCTTCTCCATACCTTGACCCCTCCTGCCACCTCTTTTCTTCCCACTAGACACGGACCCAAGGGCTGCTGTGTCCACCCCTTTGGGCAACCTCTCGCCTTTTGCCCTAGACCTGCAGAGGGAGAGGACAGATTTGGGCATTCCTAGCAGACATCTCACGGGTCCAGGCCCTGGTACCCTCCCCCACACAGGGCCCAGCTGTCATATGAAGTCGGGGTTTGAGTGGCTTTGGGAAGCTCCAACCAGACAAGGGTGGGAAGAAAGCAGAGGCAGGGGAGGTGCCGAGAGCAGGCCAGGCCCCTCTCCGGAGGACAGCTGCGGAGTGCGGGGAGGCGGGGAGGCAGAGAGGGGTAAGTATTGCTTGTACAGAGCTGGTGACTGTGGCAGTCTAGCTGAGTCCAGAGCCAGGCTGTCCGTGAGGCCAGGAAGCTGGAGCCCAGGTGAGTCTGAGCTCCCAGACAGGGACCCTGGTCTGGAAATGAGCAAACAAAGAGAGACCCAAATGATCGACCTCACGCAGCTAATCCCCAAAGGTCAGACAGGATTCTCAACAGTGGCACAGGGCAGGTCAGCCCCAACCCTCCTCATCCCAGCAACAGCCCCACCCTCAGCGCTTCCTCCACAAGCCAGGCCCCACCGGGATGCACCCCGAGGGGGACAGGGCCACCCCCAGGGCCTGGAGAGCACACAGGCGCCTCAGGGACCATCTGCTTTGGCAGAGAACATCCCCCCTGAGGCCAGCCTCTGGGGTGTCAAGACCCTCCAAGTCCACACCTCCTGGGGTCCACTGGGAGAGCTCCTTTGGCATGTTGGAAGCGAGGAGGCTCGGAGCAGGACAGGAGGTGAAGAACAATGCTAAGGGAGGTGCCCGCACTTCCCTCCAAGGGGCCTGGCCAGCCACCCTGGGAACTAAGTCTTCCTAGTGTTCCACTTGCAGGAAGGAGGCGGCTCCTGCCGAAGGGAGAAGGCGATCTCCAAGCCCTCAGCTTCCCAGGCATGTTCCGCTCCCCCGGCCCCCGGCCAGGGCACTAGATGAGCATGCGACATGCTGCAGGTGCATTCGGTAGGAAGAGCTGCCAGAGCACTCGGTGGGGAGGAGGGTGTTGGGTCCCCGAGGGGCCTCAGTGTGGCCAGCTGCAGTGGGTACTACATTCCTCAAAATAGAGCAGCGGTGCTGGGAGAAGCACAGGTGGGACAAAGGACGAGACAGAAAACAAAGCAGGGACCAGCAAGAGGCGGCCCGGACAGGGACACGTGGGCTCCGTCCCGGGCACAAGACCAGGCAGGGTGGATGGGTGGCCACATCCCCCGCTTCCGCCCCTGCACTCGGGGATCCGCGCCCACACAACACTCCTTTGGGTTTCTTTTCAACGAGACACAGAGAGATGTGGATTTTAGCTCATGTAGTCACCAAGACTGGCTATACCCAGACACGTGAACGGATAGAACATGGTCACAGACACACACAGACACACACGCACGCACACACTAGTCTCCGCTGCCAGTTGGGGTGGGCCCAGTAGCCGACAGGCATGCAGCAGGGCAAGGGGTCCAGAGAGACACGAAGACTATGTACAGGGGGCGGGGAGGGGCCGTCAGGCACCCCTTCCCACACTGCCTCCCGGCCTCTTCTGAGGTCCTTAGGAGCACGAGGGGCTGGTGGCACTCTCCAGGGAGGACTGGGACAGGCGCCTGGTGAGGGATCCAAGTGTAGAGTCTGCCACTGAGGACGTGGGGAAGAGTTTGTACCAGCCCGTGACCGCGGCACTCAGGTCCAGCTCGTCCAGCATGATCTGGGCCATGCCCATGAAGCATTTGTGGTCCATGCGGCCGTAGTCTCCCCAGACAATCACCTGCGGGGGAGGGGGTGGGAAACGGGGGGCGCTGAGCCAACTCCCCGACTTCAGGGCTCAGTAGTGGACCCAGGAACCGGCAAGTCTCACTAAAGCACAGATGAGGCAGAGAGAGCCGGAACCGAGACTGATTTGGGGGCAACAGCTTACTGAGCACTGAAGACGTGCCAGCCTCCATCGTACCGACTCCTCTCCGTTATCTCAGCCGTTACAACCGTCTAGGTAAAGGTGCTGTGTACCATCGTCTCGACAAAGAGGCAACGACAGCTCAGAGAGGTTAATGAGCCCAAAGATACACAGTACTTGGTGGCGGAGCTGGGATCAGAACCTGGGTCTGACTTCCAGAGCCTCCCAGCATCCCAGATGGCAGCCTTCCCCAGTAAGAAGCAGACGGAAAGAGTCTGGGACCTGAGTCACAGCTTCTAGTCTGCTGCTGGCGAACGGCGGAGCTTGGGGAGACCCCTGGCCCTCACTGGACCTCAGTGTTCCCACCCAGAAAACTGGAAGAGGGGAAGAGATTAGCTCAGTGATTTTCAAACTTGTATTTTTATCGGTGGATCTTTTTCTCAAAATGGAATCCCAATATATATATATACATGAAAACAGACACCCAGGATCCTCCCTACCCCCACAGAACCCCAGGGTTCTGCAGTCCTGGCCATTTGCGACCCCAAGGGCACTTGCTACGCAACCACCTCAGCCCGGAGGAACAGCCCTAGGTGAGTAGTTACACAGCCCAGACAGCCCCTGGCTCAGGCCTCTCCTCTGCCACCCATGTGGCCTCAGGCAAGGCCCCAGCCACAACCACCACTAATACTCTGAGAGCGGCTGTCTACGGGCCAGGCACTCAGTGAGGCCCTCCATGTGCATCTCTCATTTACACTTCACAGTATGCCACCCACAGACCATGATGGTGCTGGAACTTGAACCCAGGACTGAACCCAGAGACCAGCCCCCACTTAGCCTCTTGCTAAGCACCTCAGGTGCTTCATCTGTGAATGGGCGTGATGATCCCTCCCTCCCGGGACTGTCGTGAAGGGCACCGCACTCTCTCGGAGTTGGGGTGGCGTCACCTTGGCCTGGGCCACCTGGGCTCTGCAAGTCGCTAGCTGAAACCTCAAGTGAGTCACTTCACCTTTCTGAGACTGCAAGATGGGGAGAATCATACCTACTTCACAGCATCATCTGAAGGCTGAAAGGAGGTCAGGATTGGAAAGCCCTTCGCCCAGAGCCTGGCACGGAGCTGATGCGCAATAAGCATTAGCACCAGGCAGAAAGAGAAGGCAGTGGTCAAACGCTGCTTCTACCTACAAGCTGAGCAACCTGGGGTGGGGGGTGGGCAGTGGACTTATCCCCCTGAATTCTGGTTTCCTTACAAATCAACCAGGGGCAAAAACCCCTCACTGGGCTGTGAAAACAAACGGGTCATGCGCATTAATGCACTTGGTACAGTGCCTGGCACAGGACGCATCATACATGAAAGAGATTTTAAACTACAACTTGCAGTTTTGGGGAGTCGTCCTGCCCCAGGGGCCCCGTAGCACTCACCTGCAGCACCTTGCCCTGGGGCCCCTCGTCGAAGAGCAGAGCCTGCTGGTACAGGGGGTCACAGGTCTTCTTGGCCACCTTTGTCTTCTTTTTGGCCAAGCAGGCCCCGTTCTCAAGCAGGTAAACCTTGATATAGGTGGCTAAGGGATGGGAAAAAGCATGCTGGGGAGGGGTCCAGGACAGACTGATCCCCTAACGTCCTGCTGCTCCTGGAGGTGAGCAAGGTGAGTGGGATGAGCTGACCAGTGGACAGCAGTAGAAAAGATGGGCTCAAACACTGACTCGTCCATCTCCCCTCCCCTCAACCCTGTCCACGGGCCTTCCGGGCCAGCCATGACTCCGGGGTCGAGAACACTGATCTAGGCCAACGGGCAGCTGAGGACACGCTAGACCCGGAGCTCAGTTGCGCACCCCTGCCTGGCAGGACCCCGTATCCAAAACCCCTCTTCCCGCTGCTCGGCCTCACCTGGGAGGGATTTGGAGCCTGGTTTGGGGGTCAGGCCCCGAGCCTCAATCACTTCCACCTCTAGCTGGCCACTGCGGTCCATGATGGCAATGTGCACATCCCCTGCAAGGAAGAAAAGGGACCCTCCAGGCAGAGGCAGAGCCAGGGCGGGCTGGCCAGCTGCTGTGCAGAGTACAGTCTGCAGAGGGCGCTACAGTGCTGGAACAGGCAAAACATGCAGCAGACTGCTTGTGCCAGAAGGGCTCTCGAGGGGCCACTTGAAAGGAGGTGAGAAATACTTTGATAGGTCCCCTGGGGCAGGGGCGGGGGCATGACCCTCAAGGGGCATGCTTGGGTAGCAACGAATGGCTGCCCAACTCCCAGTAAGTCCCAGTGAACTGGGGGGCTCCTGTCTTACTAAGCAGAATAGCAGCCCTCGGCCACTCCCCAAATATTTACAGACTCTCCTTTTGAAAAGATGCCGAGATAGGAGCCTGCGCAGGACAGGAGGCATTGCCTGGGAATTAGGGCCTGTTTGCACCCCGGCCAAAGGATGCAGGGAAGGCCAGTTCTCCCGGGAGCAGAGAACTGAGAACTCCTCACTGCGCTCCCACAAACGATTACCTCGCCGAGGCAAGTTCTGTATGAAGTCATGTCAGTTATTTCTAGAACTCTTAGCTTCGTTCAACATCGGTTAGCGGAATTTGAAATTATGCATTAGTCACTTGGAACAACCTTCAGAGGAATGCAGAATCATAAGCCTGATGCAGAGAAATTAAAATTGGCCAGACTTTGGGTTCAGCCACCCATTTTAGATACTCCGAGCTATCATGTAATTGTTTGTATTTGCATACTTGGGAAGATGGGGATTTATTACTTTCAGGAAACATCCTGGAAGTCGTCACCCTCCCTCTAGCTATTTCTGACCTCCCCGTGGGGACGGAAGAGGGGAGGTCTTACTCTAACATCCCTAAGGAGATAAGCAAAGGCAAGCCTGTCCTTCCCACTTCTAGACACCAGGAGGCACTACACACAAGTGTTCTAGGCTGGGAAGGCACAAAAGCCTTGCGGAGGTGGCTGGCTCCTCTCACTGCCTCCCAGTCCCTGGCTGGGCCTAGGGCTGGGAAAAGCAGACTCCCCAGGCCCTTAAGAGCCTGTGAGCAAGGGCTGAGAATTGGGCAAATCCTACCCCAGGGCCAGAGGAGAGCTGGTGCTCACCCTCCGAGGGTCCCCGTGGACAAAGGCTCCTGTGGAAGCATGTCTGAGAAAACCGAAGCAGTGCAGTGGGAAGAGTACTGGCCTGGGACTGAAACCCAGCTCCAGTGCAGGGCTCGCAGCAGGGCACTGTCTGAGCCCCGCTTCCTCATGTGCTGTGAGGTCAAAGGTCGAACACTGTTCCAATGAGGACTGAGTCCAGATGCCTGGGGGCAGACTGCTCAGGTCGGACTGATGGGGAAGGGGGAGAGGCAAGGGGCATCTCTGGGGAAGCAAGTTCCTGGGAGGAGCCCCCAGAGCCAACACAACCAGTATCTAAGACAGAGGGAGAGAGGGAGGGAGGTGGGAGGGAGCCAGAAGTGCAACTAAGAGGACCGAGTAGAGACCCGGGAAGTAGGTCCCAGCTGCAGGGAAGGGGGATGAGAAAATTATTTAAAAGGCTTTTAGGTGCCAGGCAGGTAGAAGTAACAAGTCCAATAAGACACAGTTCCTCAGGAGTAAATGAAACACTTCATTCAAAGCATCGGATAGGAACTCGATGAACTGTTGTTAGATTGCGGAACTAAGGCAGGGATTCTTATTCCCATTTTACAGATGAGGAAACGGAGGCTCAAAGAAGGGGAGTGACATGCCCAAGGTCACACAGAGCACCAGGGGTAGCACAGACTCGCTGAGCATCAAAGGTGCGACGCCTCTGGTTCACCGTCTTTTTTTTTTTTTTTTAAGATTTTATTTATTTATTTGAGACAGAGAGAATGAGAGAGAGCACATGAGAGGGGGGAGGGTCAGAGGGAGAAGCAG